TTTGGGTTTCTTATCTAAGTTTTTGTGGCCATTGAATTATCTGTTGAAGTGTTATATTTCATAATAAGTGAAGAAAATTGTTTGTTAAACTGTGAGTCACTGAAACATACTTTGTCAATGTGACCTCTTTGTATGTCTTCATGCTGACAGTGCATTTATATGAAAATGCCTCCTCTTAATTCATTTTCGTTTCTGATCCTGAGAGTTTGTAGCAAAAATGTGTGCCTCTTCACACCTTAGAATGAGAAGTGCCTTTGTGGTTCCTTTCTGTATTGTAAGGTGCCTAGGTATTATGAAGGATGTAATACTAACAACTCAGTTCTGATACTTTGGTTTTGATTTTTCTGAGTTTTATAATCAACATATGGCATGGCACTTACAGACGGCATACTGTAAGAAGTGGCGGTGGTTAATAATTTTACTTTGATCAGTTGAGGATTGTTTTTTGTTTATTTGTGTTGTGGGTTTTTTTTTAGTGCATGTGTAATTAGTGCAGATAGTAATTTTCTTAGACCAGTGGGTCTAGAAATGATTTGTAGACAGTTTGTTTTAGAGAATAAGTTCAAATCTCTGGCTGAATGGAAAGTGTCCAACAAGTCCATAGTAGGTTAAGTGTTGGGGTGGTGGAATTTAGGAAAACTAAATCCAGTGAATGTTATGAGAAGTGGAAGGATTGTATGATTACTTGTTTGGTGTGGAGTGGGAATTGGTGAACACTTTATGTAATCTTACGAAGATGTTGGCACACTGCAGCATCAACAGTATGAATGCATGTCTGAATGCATTCTGGGTTTTTTTCCACTACTCCAGCATTAACTGTGTTCTCTCTCTGCCTCTTCTTTTTCTTTTTAAAGGTTGCAACAAACTTTGTTGTAAGGATGTACCAGTATCATCACGAATCAATCCTTTCTACCTTTCCCTAACGGGAAAGTAATTGGAAGTTTGTCAGCAGATACTTCCCTGCCTTTTCTGACTCTTCAGGATGTATGTTTTTGAGATGCATCCAAGCAGTGTGGGGAATTCTTTGATTTGTGATTGAGGTGTGAACAACCTCCGAAAGATCTGCTAAAAGGATAAGGAGGAACCTCTATGGGTAACCCTTGGCTGGAAACAATTACTGGTCAACCATGGTAAAACTTGCCAACCCTCTTTATACGGAGTGGATTCTTGAAGCTATACAGAAGGTTAAAAAGCAAAAGCAAAGGCCCTCTGAAGAGAGAATATGTCATGCTGTTTGTGCTTCACATGGATTAGATAAGAAGACTGTTTCAGAACAGTTGGAACTTAGTGTTCAAGATGGTTCTATTCTTAAAGTTACCAACAAAGGCCTTGCATCCTACAAGGACCCAGATAATCCTGGACGGTTTTCATCTGTTAAACCTGGCACCATTCCTAAATCTGTTAAGGGATCTCGAGGAGCTTGTAATGAGCTTCGTAACGTGGATTGGAATAAACTGTTGAGAAGAGCAATTGAAGGGCTTCAAGAACCAAGTGGTTCCTCCCTGAAAAACATAGAGAAGTATTTGAGAAGTCAAAATGACCTAGCAAATATTTTCAACAATCCTGCCTTTCAGCAGAGGTTGCGTCTGGGGGCCAAACGAGCTGTGAACAATGGGAGATTACTGAAGGATGGACCTCAGTATAGAGTGAATTATGGCAGTGTGGAAAGCAAAGGAGCTCCAAAATATTCCGGCACTTTCCCAGCTTCTCTTCCACCTGTCAGCCTTCTACCCCATGAAAAAGACCAGGTAAATCTGAAAAATGAGAGCAAATGTCGTAATGCAAAAATTATTCTTGTAGTTCTTTTTTTTTATTTAATGCAAAAATGATGATTCTTCTTGTTCTTTGTTTAACTGTTTAAATGTATGTAAGTAAGGATGCATGTCAAAGATCCATGCGTAATCAGTTCTGGTAAGGGAAGTGTACTTACCTCCCTGTGTCCTGCTGTTCTGAGTTGGTTAGTTTGTTGTTTGGATTTCAGCAGATAAACAGAGCAACAGAGAAGAGTACAGCTGTATGCTCTCTTCCAGATGTAAGGTTGTTCTGTCTTGCCTGGCAGACTGGTGTTGCTGAAATCTGCAATGTGATTTGATTGTGACCTTTTACTTTCATTTTGTACCTGGAAGTACTGATTTTCTCATAGTTTGAACGCCACCTGAAATACTAACAGTAGAACTCTTGGTATTTGAGACTGTGAGATTTACTATTTTTAAAGATATTTGTATGTAGCTTTAGAACTACAGGTAATAGGAACTGACGTTAACATAAATATTCTAGGAATATAATGGAAGGTGTCAGAGTGACAAATTGAGCTGAAGTGCAGAATCCTCCTCCTATTTTAGTTTTGTTGGACTTCCTACATAGGTTTATTTTTGCTATTACTTGGGCCTTGTTTTCAGGTTAATTATTCACAGGGTTTAAGCCTTGAGGGAGAACCAGGTGTCAATTAGTGTTTTGTTTATGAAAGGATAGTGTCAAAGATATGTCTGTAGGCGTTCTTTGATCATTCCTCATTTAGTATGGTGAAGTGTGTTTTGAATTTTCAGTGTACATGGGGAGAAAAACGCTACCTGTTCTGCTTGAATTGAGTTACTTTGAATATTTTTAAGTTGATGACTTGATGGTTTGTTGTCCCCCTCTCAATGGTAGAGTTTGGTGGCAGTTCTTTTGGACATGGAATTACCCAGACAACTTTGACATTATAGAGGTGCCAGTAGTGTCTCCTAGAAACTGCATGATGGTTTTCACTTGCCTTTTTCCTTCAGCTGATTGTAAGGCACTGGAGAGTGCAGAGTAAACAGTGCTTGTGTTAGAAATATCTAGTGCAGTCTACAAGAACAGTTGCTTGTGGAACTGTCAAGAGATGACACTACAAATGTTGGTAGCTGTAGGTTGATTTTTTGAGAGCTTCTCCAAATATATGTTAAATATGATTGCTTTTATATGTAGATATTTATCTGTTTTCTGTCAAATTGAACTTCTTGTGTATTTAAAGGATGCATGGAGCTTCATGCACAATAATCAGAATGGAAATTCAGAAGCGTTGCTTACTGTGCAATTACTGCTGTAGCCATACACTATAAAGATTTAATTACTTGTAGCAATAAAGCTGTCTGTTTTTTTCAGTACTTTCAGAGATTATTCTGTAATTCTGATACTCTAGTGGCATGAAAAATTTGAAGGCTGGAGTACTGAACAACCAACATAGTTTAATACTACGATGCTTCATGTTAATTCTGTGGAAACAAAAATCTCCCTTGTTAGGCGACCTGCTGGGACTGGTATCCATTGCAAACAATATTAGTTGGGTCACAGTGCTGAAAAAGCCATTACTGCCATACTAAAATACTGGTATAAGGATTAAATCTGTCTTTTATAAGTTAGCCAAACAAATCTGTTCTCTAGCAAGTGCTTCGGCAAGAAATAGGCTTTCATTTGAGTGCCTCAAAATCAGCAGTGTGACTTGCGTGTTTAAAAACTGTTCGGCATACGATTTTTCCTGACAAAACTAGTTTTGATGTGAAGGTTAGCGAATCAGTAGTTCAATGTCAGTGTAGTGCACTGCTTGGATGCACTAGTTGTGGCATGGGTTACTGGGCAAATGTACATAGACTTGGTTTAAATACGGGATTTTGACTAGCCTTCAAGCTGTACGGCTTTAAATGCTCTTAAAGGACAGTTCTGAAAGTAAATAGGTGTCCCTGTTACTGAGATGTGACTGCATGTTCATTTGAAATTAACGGTGATTCATGAATGAGCTGAAAGACACTGCAGGAAAGCTGTTAGGCTTTTTTCATTGGAAGTATTTAAGCGGCCTTATGGGACGTGACAAGATTATTTATTAAATTTTATACAATAAAATGTAGCCAACTGGGATATCTCAGGGTGCCTGGTCTTTGAAGAGATTGGTGTATTTAAAGTTTCTTTGGCTGTTTATATAGCTAGCACAAGTTAAGAGCTGCTTTTTTGTTTGGGTGGCTCTTCTTGTTTGTTTGGGGTTTTTGTTTTTAAATTCTAGAGCTGAAGTTCAAGTATCTCCTCTGACTTTCCTTGAAGAGAAGAAAGAACAGGAGGATGTGCAAAAATCTATTTAGATGACTGTGGAAGTTTGAGTAATTTTGACTTTCAAATGTATAATTAACATCTTATCAGGATGAGACAGTTAAAAAACAGCTCATTAGAAGCATGTTAGAGCTCGATCTTTGGCCATCCGAACTTTCACACTCCTTGTGCCAAACACAGACTTCGAACCTTCATTCCTGAGTGAATAAAAGGTGATCAGAAGAGATAGTCCTCTATGTTCTGAGTATTTTGCATAGATATCTTCTCTCTTGCACTTCACACCTTCCCTCACCTAGCATCTTTTGAAAAGGGCTGTATGAGTATGTTAATAAGAAACTGCAGTGTAAAAACTGATAATATAGTAGGAAAGGGTGTGAACAGAGAGGAAAGTCAACCTGAACATGTTGTGTGATACTTAGCTTTTTGATAAGCGTTTGATGCATTAAAACACACTTATGAAAATACAGCAGTAAAGTAGCATTTAAAAGTTATGATTAGTCTTCAAATGGATGTTTAGTTTATCTTTAATGATGTCAATTGTAGAATGGCAATATCAGTGGTGTTTTCTGTGTGCACCTGTGCACTGTGGTGTTCCTTGTTTTCTTTGTCACTTGGACAGGCACTAGGAAGGTTCTGCAGTTTGCATGAAACCTACTAGGTCTTAGGAGTTAGCCATTTTCTGAGCACAAATGGCATGCAAATATAAACCTGAAAAAGCACATATTTGTAGGCCATAGACAGCTCTTTATTTTTTAAAACATTATTTAAAAGGATAAATTCAGCTGTAAAAGGTGAAGAGACAATGGCTATTGTAACATTTTCAGAGGACTCTGGGAATGCGTAGAATATCTCAGTGGTTATGCCTTTGCTATGTTCAGAATAATTACTACTTAGAGTATACTTATAAAGATGTAGTGTGAATGAGATATCTTGATCCATACTGTGTTTTCTTGGTTCTCCTGAACATGCTCTTGAACAGCTCAGTAACTGTTTTAGTAGTTGTTTCCATCTGATTCTTGGCCTGAAAATTTTATTAATCCCCCTTTCACTTCCAGTTTGTCTTTCTAAGATGACTTTCATGCAAAACCAAACTTGTTTTATTAATTTTTCATATTCTGAAATCCTATCTAATTTTGTTTTCACTGGCCTACCTACCAGCTTTTCAAAGTGTAACTTGGCATGGGTTGAATTTCAGTTTTCTGGTATATAGCTTGTGCCAGTGCAGACACTGGGTGTTCCTCCTTCTGTCTTTCAGGCAAAGGGCCAATCTATAGAGAATTGCTTTTTTGGCATCCAGGCTCCTCCCCACTCAGTTGTTCAGCTTCCTGCTTTCCTGTGTGTAGGCAACAAGAGACTGTTGGCTGAGATTTCTTTGCTTGCTCTACCTTGTTCCTGCTGGCCTCTAGATAGTCCACTGAGCAGGACCACAAAAGTTAGGCAGAAAGGAAGTGCTACACGATTGGATCTTACTGATTTACACATAAGAGGATATTCATAATGCCTAAATTTGGATCTGGCTTTACATGGAGTCTGTGCACCTGAGGGCGAATCACTGAGGCTGAGCACCAAAGTACAGTGATAGGTTTCTGTAAGAAAGTGTCTGCAGTGCTACAGTTGAAGAGCCTGTAGATGGGTATGAAAAAGAAAAATGAAATCTAGGCTCGAACTTTGTCAATCCATAAAATACTGTCGTCTTTAAACTCAACCTGCGTTTCTCCCCTTTGAATATCTTCATGGTGACAAAAGACTGAGGAATGTTAGTGTTACTTGACAAACACTAGCTCTCATGTTTGTGCTTCTTGTTATCTCAGTTCACAATCTCCCAGAACTTCAACGACAATAACAACATCCTCTGAGGTGCAGGCCACCCTTCCAAAAAATAAAGGGATCTTAAGTGCTGCTGCTTGCTCTCATTTCTCTGCTGTCCCTGTACCTTCTGGAATGCTAAAAGTAACAACTCTATGCATAAGCCAAGTGAAGCTTACAAGTGGATCCTATTCATACTTGAGATACTGAAGCTGCTATTTCCTAAGTTAGATTGATCTGCTCCTTCATAAGGCAGGATGGTGGGGGGAGGTTGGGTTCCAGTTTCTGATGGCAATGACTTAGTTTCTGCAAACAAGTCATCTGTTTGCAGTTTCCTATAGAACCATCAGGGAAGACCCTACTCATCCTTTTTTTCCCAAGCTGAATATTTTGGAATGTAGTTCTGTGTGATGCGCTCATGATTCTTGTTTACAGCAAGGAGTGATTCCAAACCTTATGCTGCAAGCCGTTTAATCCTAAGGCCTGTGAAAATATGATTCTTTTGGTAGTTTCTCTTCAAAATTAATCGATGTGATGTGCTGTGTGAGTCCTGTATTGAAACTGACAGCAATGAGTTAAAGAAATTCTTTGTAGTTCCAGAAGTTCTGTTCCTCTTTGTTCCTCTGTAGTTCCTTTTCTGTTCCTCATAGAAAACATCTATGCTGTTTTCTGTGAACTTTTCTGTCATAACTGAGAGTGACTTTTGATTCCTGAACTACGGTTAGAGGTTTTACTCTTTGCAAATTTTCTCCAAGATTAATTTTTTCTTTAACTGTGCAGTACATGGATATCTCTTTTGTCAAGATTCCTTCCAGAATATAGGAATAGCAGAAGTCTGCCTTAGATTTAAGAACTACCTTGCCATGTTTTTTCAGTGCCG